TGTTAAAAAATAAATTTGATCTTTTTTGCGTTCAAGATACAAAATTATCTCAAAAAATTATCATAACAAGACTTTATAATTAATTTTATTCTCAAAAAAATATATTATATTTGTATTATGCTAATTTATAGGTAAGATTTAATACTAATTCCTAAATAAAATTAACTTTTGTAGAGTCTTTTATATTTTTTGAAAGGAAATATCTCTTGTATTAATGAAATTTATTACAGTCTTTTTTAATAGTTTTCAGTAAGAACCTTGGACATTCCTCTACCTATATTACATTTGCCTTCAACAGTTCCCAAAACTTTGCTAGTTTGTGAACTGCCATGTTGCCCTCACGTATGAATGACTTACCCGGTAACTCTGCATTATTCTTATGAGCATTCAGGCTTCATCAAGATAATACTACATGGAGAAAAATCAAAATCTACGCTTTTTAGTTTTTTAATGATTCTCAGCGCATCTCCTTCCAGTAGGATTCTCGTAAACCCCATTTTTCTAGCTAATAATAAAGCTCTAATAGCTACTCAGCTTTCTACCATCCATGCATCATGAATACCTTGTAATGTGGCTGCTAAGGCACCCAGTACTTCCTCTTTATGGTCTCTGATTATTACCTCCACACCACCAGCTCCAAGATTTCTATTACAAGCCCCGTTAAAGTTCACCTTCACCACCATTTCAAGCGACGCCTTCCAGCATTCCCTTATGTTATTACACTGTATTGCAACTTGTTCTTGAGTTGCTTTAAACTCTTCTAAGTATGACAACATAAAAAATGTTGTTTGTTCAGGGTTCCTTTCCGTTCCTCTATACATCTCTCCATTCCTGTTGTTTTATACTACCCAAGCTATTGTAAGAAACACATCAAAGACATTGGCCTCTATCTGATCTGCCTCCTTTGCCATCCAGTCTGCTGTGACATGAAGATTATCAGTCTTCCCCTCCAAATTGGTTCCTATACGTGACTAGATCGCTGCAAGGCAGTCTAGTATAGTATGCAGCACCGATTCTTCCTTTTCTTCTCACCATGGACAGCCTCCAGCAGGGAGTATTTTTCCTGGTTAGATTAGATCTCACTAGTAGAATATCATGTTTCATCCTCTATGCGAACACTTATATTTTGCTCGGCACAGTCGCATTCCATAATAGCTTCCAGTGAGTTTTCTCCCATTTGTTTCTGTTTTGGTCTGCTACGCCACTTACTGTGTCAGCTCTCAGAAGCCTATTGCCATTTTTAACTGAGTATATACCATTGTTGTTAAAGTCCCAAATTAGGGTGTCCGATTGGTTTAGAGTACTAATTGGTAGGGCATAAATGACATCTGTTTCCTCAACTGAGAAAGTGTTAAAAACCAGCTCCTTCTTCCATTTCCCTGTATCTGCATCAATCAGTTCACTAATCCGCATGTTAACATCCATTTCCTCTCTCGACTCGTTTTAATTTTTCTTGTACCTCCAGTCAAGTGTCCTTCCACACTCTGATTGTTTCACCGTTCCCCACCCTTCATCTTGTTTCCTTCTTGAGTAGATCTAGTGCGCCTCATATACTTTGCCACGTAAGGGATGGGTTGTTCCTTAGCTCAAATTCCATCAGTTGCATGCTAGAAAAACACTTTCCTTTAATTACCCTATAAGCTGGTGATGAGGTCCCATGTAGCAGTCTCCATCCTCGTTTACACAGCAGCACTTTGTTAAAGTCTTCTATGTCACGAAAGCCCATGTCTTCTTCCATTTTTGGCATACACATTTTGCTCCAGCGTAGCCTGTGTATCCCTTTCCAACTATTTCTATTACCTCACCAATAAGAGCTCAATATGCTGTTTATTTCTTTGCATAAGGATTTTAGCAATGTAAAGCAATTCATTGCATAAGAGAAGATGGCTTGTAGCACAGCTTTTATAAATACTTCTTTGCCTTCTTTTGATAGCATTCCATGGCTCCACCTTTGTATCTTTTTTCTAATTCGGTTTAGATCCCTGAAGGCTTTTTTTCGTCATTTCCCACCATGGTTGGGAGGCCTAGGTATTCCTCTGGATTTGATAGCACCCAAATTTCAAAGATGTTCTCACTTCATTTCTATGTTCTTGTCTTGTGTTACTGCTGAAAAATAAAAGGGATTTATCAAAATTTATCATCTGTCCTAAGCCATTTTGATATCTCTATAGCATGCTATTTACCCTTTCGCTTAGATCCCTGTTGGCTTTTGCAAACAACAGGCTGTCATCGGCAAAGAATAGAAGAGTGGCTTGTGGGCCCTGTTGGCTCACCCTTGCTCTTGTCATCAGTCCATTTCTTTGGCATCTTGTGAGTAAACCTGACAATCCTTCAAAACAGATAAGAAATAGATATGATGAAAAAGGATCTCCCTATCGTAAACCCTTTTTTGGTACAAATTTGTCAGTCATAAATTCATTAATAATAAAGGAATAAGAAACAGATGTAACACATCTCATCACCAAGGAGACCCAATTTTTATGGAATCTCATTCTTAACATCATTGCTTCTAGGAAGTTTTATTCCACTCGGTCATAAGCTTTACTCATAACTAATTTAATGCAAAAAAGACTTATTTGCCTTGTTTTTTGTTTTTCATTGTGTGTAGCAATTCATAGGTCACAAGTACAGTATCAGTGATAAATCTTCCAAGTACAAAGGCACTTTGTGATTCGCTAATCCATCTAGGTAACAGGATTTTAAACTTGTTGACAATGGCTTTGGAGATTATTTAGTAAATGACGTTGCACAGAATAGGCCTAAACTAAGACATGTGCTTTGGGTTCTTTATTTTTTGGATCAAGACTATGTTTGTATTGTTTATGCTAACTAAAGATTCTTTACTATTAAGCACAAATAAACAATATCTAGTTATCTTTAGAACTAGCAATATGCCAATATTTGTGGAAAAATAAAGTGAGCATACTTTCCGTTCCAGGCGCATTGGTAGGGTGCATCTGTTTGATGGTTGTATGAATCTCTTCTTCTTTGAATTCTGCTAGCAAGTCATTATTCATTTCGTTTGTCACTAAGGGGTTTCAGAGCCTCAAGTATATCATAAAAAATTTGAAATTTTTGGCTCCTGAATAGATTTTAGAAGTACTCAAGGGCTATACTCTGGATTTCTTTGTCTTTTTCTCCTCATTCTCCATTCAGGTCTTCTATTCATTTGATGGCATTTTGGCGTTTCTTGTCTGAGGCTTATGCATGGAAACAGGCAGTGTTTTTATCACCTTCGTTCAGCCAGTTGGTTATTACTCTTTAGATCCAAAAGATTTCCTTCTTCTCTAATACAATATTCAGTTTTTCTTTGGCTATTATTTCTTCCTTATGTCCTTCATTTGTTAAATAGCCTGTCTGCTAGTCTTGGATATCCCTACTTAAAACTGCTATTTCTACCTTAATCCCCTAATATTAGCATTTGTACCACCCAACTAGCTCCATCCCCACATCTTAGAGGTTTTTTATTATTGTTACATACTCTCCTTTGGCCTACACTTCTTGGAATATATCTTCACTTTCCTTTGCCACATAGCTTCAAAAAGAGCCGTCTCCTTTGTCTCTTTGTCCGTTTGTTTTCTTTGTACCCTTCTATATCTACCAACAATGGGCAATGATCAGATACTGCAACCGTTAAGTGTTTTACCATCGCCATGGGAAAACTCATATAGCACTTACATTTGCTAAGGCTTGGTGTAGCCTCTCTTGAATGAGTGTTGCAGTTGTTCTTCCTCTTACCCATTTATACCACTTACCAACATAACCCATATCAACTAAACCACTATACTCTACAGATTCTCTGAAGGCTTTCATTTGGTGTTCAAGCCTAAGTCTCTTTCCACTCTTCTCGTTATCCCACATCAATTCATTGAGGTCTCCAAAACACATCCATACTTTGTCTAATTGGTGTGATAATGCCTGAAGCAACTCCTATGGCACATGCATGTTATTTGCATTTGGCTCACGAGAGAAACCTGTGATACGCCCAAGCTCTCCTTCTGCTTCCCATTTGAACTCCGTATCTATATGGTGTTTCGAAAAGCTCATCGGTTTTAGAACGACATCTTCTCTCCACATTATCCTTAAACCGCCACTTCTGCCTTCTGCGCCTACTCCGAAACACGAACTCATTCCACATTTCCTCCTGATTCTATCTAATTTATTTTCATGCAATTTTGTTTCACATATAAAAACTGCAAGTGGATCTTTTCTCCTTTTTATGTCTTTAAGGGCTCAAATTGCTTGCAGGTTCCTAAGCCCACGACAATTACATGCAATAAGCCTTATTGTGCTCGGCGAGATTTGGCTCCAGTATCTGCCGTTTTGTCACTCTTATTCAGGTCTTCCTCTTATTCATCCCTGTGCCTTTTTTCTTCTCTGTCCAGGCCATGAATATGTAATCCATCAGCTTATCTCTATCCTTTCTTTTCACTTTTTTTTTGTCCTGCAGCTCAATGATTTGTCCCATAGTTCTAGCTTTCCTTTTCCACATAGACCTCAATTTGTTTGTTTTATTTTCCATGTCAATTATAGGTCCCCCAGCCAACGTGTGTTTTGTTTCTGTTGTCCGCTGTGGAAGTCCCTTTCAGATATTGCCTTCACTTTTATAATCTCATTATATGTGCCTACATTAGGTTCGTTTTAAAAGTTACTTCCTTGGTCACACTAGCTGACTGCATCCTTAAATTTCGTGGTGATATCTTCCTCATTTAAACTACCTGCAACATTCTCTTTAGATCTCTAGCTTGGAGTTACATTCAAAATCTTACTTTCAGATTTTTCTGGCTTGGTCCATGCACAGCCTTCTCGTTATAAAATTTTTATTGTTTCTGATAAGCCGATCTGCTATCTCTTAACCTTTCCTTTAATCTGTCACCACTAACAGTCTCATATGTTGCTATTGCTTGACTACTCGATCAGTTAAACTAAAAACCATCATATTTCTTAAGGCACCATGTCCCCTCTTTATACATCATGTAACATTTCTTTGCTGGTGAAGCTTATAGCCATTCTCCATATTGTTTCATCCTTCCCTTATTATCATGATCTGCCTCATCTGTGTCACATTCAGATTCCCCATGTTCCAACAGCTTGCAGTTATAACAGAAAGTTGGCTGCCGTTCATAAGCTAACCTTGCCCAGATATCCGCTCTACCTTCTCCCTTGTTCACCACTACGACCCTACTTAATGGTTCTTTTATGTTGATTTCCACCCTAACCCATAAAAATCTTCCCCATCCATTTCGGTTCTTGTTTCATCTACTTTTTTAAACACCCAATCCTGTTGCCCAGCCTTTCTACCATATTCCCATTCATCATCCCTAGCGGAAGGCTATAAATCCTCACCCAGAAGGTAGCAACGTCAAAGTTGTATTCATCTGCTTTCAGCAAGCCACTGTAATCCTGCATTACCAGTAAATGTTTATCGAAAGACCATGGGGAGCCATCCATAACCCACTTTTTATCACTTCTCGTTGCAAACTTGAAAAGGAAGAGATTTACATCAAGATAGGAGACTTACATCTCCCTCGATAATTTTCAGATTACTCGAAATGTTCCAATCATTGCTTCTTTGTTAAAGAGACGATTGATTAAAAGTTTCCCGACCATCCATTTGTTTTCCTCTTCTTTATCCTCTTGTAATCTCCCCTTTCTGGTGTGATCCTTTCTTTCTCGTCCTCCGTTAGGTTTAAAAACCTCCATAACTCCTCGGCCATGTATCACTATTTTGGACTTGTCCTCCACAACAATTGAAAAGAAAAACTAAAACTCCACAAGAACTTTGAAAATAACTTGTGCTTTGAACCTCTGTAATAACTAAAACGAAACTCTTGTAGAGTCTTTTACATGAATTAAACAAAATAACAAAAATATATTTTAAATCCGGCTTTGGCTCATCTCTAATCCAAACATTGGACTGCAAAGGTCAGTCCATTACGGAGATTTGGCCATGTGTATAAAAAAACCAATCAATGGTCATAAATGTAGCATATTGGATTTTATAGATTTTTTCTTTTAGTTTTGGCAAAAAGTTCAAATAAGCTATAAATAAAAATTTAATAATCATCCAAATCTTTTTCGATTTACTACAATTAATTAAATTTTTATTAAAAAAATGATTAACTGTTAATATTTATTTATTTTTAAATCGAGAACTTAGTTGAAGTGAAAATAAAAGTTTATAGATTCAATTAGATAAAAATAAATATTTAAAAATTCAATTGATTTGAAAAAAAAAATTAAATTTGATTAATTACAATAAAATATCAAAAATTTAAATAATTATCAAATTTTTATTCGAAAGTTTTTGAGCATTTTCCCTTAATTCGTTCATTTTAAGCATTATCTTTTTGAAAATTATTAAAACCACATTCCCTGTAATTTTTGGTGGCTCAAGTCTCAATAGCATTATTTGGTAATGTCCATAAAGTAAAATAATGAAATTTTGGATAATGAAATACTAAAGAAGACAAAAAATTGTGGAAAGACGAACTAAAACAAAATAAATTTTTTATTTGTAGAAAGTATAGATTTAGAAGGCAGAGAGACGAAGAAAGGATAGCTTTACCAAAAATATTAATTTTTTCCAAAATAACTAGGATAATAGTTTTAAAAAAAAAAAAAACATGTCTTGGATCTTAATGGTGTGGTGCAAGTAGAACCATTGACCGGTTTGTACACGTGTCAAAATCTTCAGATTCGACTGGCTTCTCCAGTCCAAACATTAAACTGCAGAGCAGTCGAATCTTTTAAATCCGCTAACCTCTCAATGAAGTCCACTGAAAGCCCAGGTCTTAAGTCGTGAAACCGTTAAAGGCAGGGTCGGGCTTTAGCAGAATGCATGTCATATCTCCATAGTACAATTGAGGTTTTCTTAATGAGTGATTAAATTTAGGAGTATTTTTTTATTAGGTTAATATTATGAATAATTTTTAATTATAGTAAAATATTTAATTTGATATTTAAATTTAAAAAAATTTTAATATGATATTTAAATTATGAATTTATTAATTAATATGAAATTTATCCTAACGTGATTAATTTTAAATGATGATTCGTGACGAACAAATAATTCTTTGAATACTATATTAATTTACAAATTTATAATTTAAGTATTATATTAAAAATTCTTAAAGTTCAATACAAAATTAAATATTTCATTATAACATGACATTAATCATTTTATATTAAGCTTGGAGAAACGAGACAAGCTTAAACTCTTATCTAACAAGAAATTTAACATTTTAATTAGCTAGGTGAATCGTTTAGGCTCTATTGATATTATTTATACTATTAATAATATTTAGATTAATTTTGATGTTATGGTCATCAAACATGAAATAGGTGAGCTTAACATACCTTTTAAAGATATAAATTATATTTTTTAAAAAAGATATGAAGTTAAAAAGGTTTTGAGAAAGATGAAAGAAAAGATAATTGTAAGACTAGATAGAATCTCGATTAAGGTTTGGAAATGCATGAATGAAATAAGAACAAGATGGTTGACAGATCTTTTCAACCAAACTTGATATACTCAAAAGATGCCAAAGAATGGATGATGAGTACTCTAGTCCCTTTATACAAGGATAAATGTGATATACAAAATTGTTCAAACTATAGAAGAATAAAACTTATAAATCATATTATGAAACTTTAAAAGAGAGTAATTGAATGTAAATTACAACATGAGATCATTATCTTTGAAAACCAATTTGGGTTTATGCTAGGACACTCCATAATAAAAGTAATTCACATATTGAAGCCTTGTTGGAGGGTTTTCGAACAAGAAAAAAAATCTATATATGGTATTTTATCAACTTGAAGAAAGGATACGATATAGTTCCTTGAGAGGTGCTTTGATGGGCTTTTAATGATGGTGTATGTTATTTGCCGATAATATAGTTTTAGTTGCTGAAAATAATGATTTTAATGCGAAATTAAAAAATAGAGGCATACATTAGAGTTTCGAGACTTTAAATTTAGTATATTTAAAACTAAATATATGGAACATAGATTTAGGATTCATAGAGAAGTAGATGCTAGTGTGATTAAGTTGGATGGTGATATACTACTAAAAAGTAGTTATTTTTGTTATTTGAGATCAATTATTCAAAGCAATGCCTAGATAGAAAGAGATGTAAATCACAGGATTCAAGCACAATAGGTGAGATGGCAAAATGAGTTCGGTATGTTGTGTGATCACAACATATCTTTAAAGTTAAAAGCAAAGTTGCATAAAATAACTGTAAAACCTGTATTATTATATGGGATTGAGTGTTGGGTCATTAAGAAACAATATGAGAATAAAATAAGTATAGCTAAAATGAGGATACTTAGATTAATGTTTGGTAAGATTAGAAGAGACAAATAAAAAATGAAGAGATTTAAGAAAAATTAAGGATAATTCGAATTGAGGAAAAAATGAGAGAGGGCCGTTTGAGATAGTTTGGACATGTGAAATGTAAACCTATCTGTGCACTAGTTAAGAGAAATGAGTTTTTAGATTTAAGAGAAATCAAAACTTCTAGAAGTAGATCATAAAAGACGTGGATGTAAGAATAAGAAATGATATGAGGATTAAACAAGTAGATGAAAAGGCTATTTTTTATTAAAATGAGTGGTGTAAGAATATTCAAAAGTATGACCTAACATGATTTTTTTTTTTTTTTTTACCTTTCATATAGCTAACCTTAGAGTTATAGGATGTAAGACTTAATTTTTTGTTATTGTTGTTGGTTATGAGACAACTCATTTAGATAATTTGTTAAAATTTTTTATTAAAATTATAAAATAGTATAAAATCAACTATCAACATTTTCATGCATTATGCTCTTCCACATGTATTAAAATTTATAACATAAACAAATCAAATATGAACAAATTTTATTATATTTATGATCTGTTTACTTAATTAATAAATTTTGAAATATTATTCGTCCTCATTTATTAAGTTTAATAAATGAATAAAAATAAAAACTATTCACGAATTATTCATCAAATACTTTGTTTGTTTATACCTGGGGCATAAACGAATCAAATAGTAACAAAATTTATTATGTTCTTATCTGTACATTTAGCTATGAATCTTAAAATACTGATTATGATAATTTATTAAACTTAATAAATGAGTATAAATAAATAAAAAGTTAACATATCCATGAACTACTCATCGAACATTTGTCAGTTACATTCCTATCAAATTTTTTCCATCTAATCCAAACCATTTTGAGTTAGTGTATATGAATAAAACTTAAAATCAATAACATTCTTATGTCAATGTTAGTTAATGTTATTGTTAATTAGTTTTAGAGAGTTTTATTTTATTTCAAAGGTGATTCGTTAAGCAAATCTAAAATCTATAAAATATATTAAAGTTATTTCCATGGGAATTTGAATCTTAATTTTTAGCCACCCAAATTGTGTCGTAAATAATTATTTGATGGATGAATTTGACTTTTAACTTACAAATGTGGGTTAATTGGGATATTTACTCACAATTTTAGTGTTAGTTTGGACTTCTCAACTAACTCTAAATGGGGTATTTAGGACATTAACTAATGTTTTGGGGTTAATTTAGGATATTAATTTGTGTTTTGTCAGGTTAAGTTAGTAAACTTCAAATTTTAGTTATTATAGTATTTTTAATTAAGGTCTCAATTTAAAAATCAAACAATTAGCCCTTAATCAAATATGCAAAGAATTTTATAGAAATACTCATTTAATCAATACAATAAATATCAATAACTATTAATTTTATAAAAGTAAAAAAATAAAAAATATAATGTATATTAATTATATCTCTCTATACAATAAATTAAAGTTTTCCTAAATGTGAGATTTTTCAATTTCAAAAAATCTAAGATGAACATAAAAATTAATTAGATGGTTAATCAAGGCATTAAATAAAATTGATTGGGGTGATTTAAAGAAAGAACTTTTAGTTATTTTTCTTTGTTTTGGACACATGGCAATCATTTTTTTGTTTTTAATTTTATTTTTAATTTATTGATTTGCATATTGATTTGTTTATTTGTTTATTTACTTACATACTTAAATCATTTGACAACATAAAAAATTAAAAATGTGTTAGACAAATAAATTTGTAATTTTTATAATTATATTTATTTGTTTGTATCATGTAAATTTTTTAAAAAATAACAAATTTTCCGATAATTGGATTAGAAGAAAATTGCAAATGATGCTTGAAATTCGTTGGTGATGAATTTTCTTACTAAAAGTTTTGGAAAGATTTTGGAAATATTCTAATAAAAATATTTTATTTATTTTAGATAAAACATTTAGCAAAAATAAAAGTTTGCAAAATAAAAAATAAATATAAATATAAATATAAGTTTTTTTCTAAAAATTTTAAAATAATCTGACGACGGAACCTTTTCAAAAAAATAAATGAATTTATTGAATAACCTTGAGATGAGGAAATTTTTCCGAAATTATGTAAAAGTCTTGGAGAAAAACTAAAACCTTTCCAACATTTTAAATAATGAAATTTAATTAAGAATAAAAAATCATTAAGATAACATAAAATTAATAGGTGCTGTCTTTGAATGAGCTTTATAAAAGGACTAATACCATCTTTAGATAAAAATTATGAAAATATTAATACTATCTTAAGATAAGCATTTTTGAATGGACATTATGAGAGTGATAATATATTCACTACACGTAAACTAATAACATAACATATAGTAAAAGTTATCTCCAAATGTGGAATAACTCTTAATCGAAGGACAATTTACGATTGCGTTAGCAAATTACTTTTTATTTGTCAAATAGTGATTGGTTGATAAAAGAATTCAATAAGTTATTAGGTTTGGCAGGTTTGGTTTTAATTGGATTGGCTTAGGGTGAGTTGAGCTTTAATTGGATTTGAAAAAAGGAATTCGGTGTTTGTCTAATGTTAAATTATAATTGTGTGAATTTTTATAGGTTTTGAGTTTTTACTATTTATTATCTACAATCAAATACAATAAAATAATAAAAATATAATAATGATGATAAATATAAATATTAAAAGATATAAAAATAAACAATTAAAATTAAGTCACTTTTTTTTCTTTCTTTTGTTTTAAATATTTTTGTAAAAAAGTTTACAATTTACAAAAAATTAAAAAATCATACATTTTGATAAAATAATTAATAAAAATACAATAATCATAAAATAATGTGAAAATAATAATAATAATATGTAAAAACTATATATTTTTTAAAATTTAAAATTTATAATATTTTATTTATTATTACTTTTATATTAAAATAATTAATTTATCCCAACGTAGTGAGGACTAATTCTAGTTAAGCGTAAAAAGTAAATTCATGTAGTTAACCTTAAGCTCTCGTACAAAAGTATGGAAAATTCAAGTAGCGTTAAAATTTTAGATTTTGATCAATTTCTAATACAAAATAATTGAAATATGTTTGTTTAATTAATAAATTTAAAAATATTATTTGTTATTATTTATTATATTTAATAAATAAATAAAAATGGAACCTAGCAATGAATTATTTATAGAATATTTTATTCATTTATTAAAATGTACGAATGAAATATAATTGAATTTATTATGTTCTTAATTTATTTATTTATTAAGTTAAATAAATGAACATAAATAAAAAAAATTTAAGCATATTCGTAAACTATTCATTGAACATTTGTTCAATTACATTCCTATCAAAAAATTTTCCATCAAATAATAATTAAAACAAAAAAAAAACATTGTTATTTGATGTTACTGTTAATCAATTTTACAGTTTTATTTTAATTCAAAGTGATTCGGTAAGCAAATCCAAAAATAAGTGTAAAAAGTAAATACACGTGGTTAACGTTAAACATCCGTACAAAGTATGGTAAATCCAGCCAGGCAGCGCTACAATTTTAGATTTTGACCGACTCCATCTCGTAGTATTATTCGCTGTTACGTTTCCGTGTACGACGCCGACTTCTCGTTTCACTATAAATAAAGAAGGCTGCTTTCTAGGGTTTTTCATCTTTTTCTCCCTAAAATTTTCGCATTGTCGCGTCTCAACTTTCGAATCTCAGAAACGTGAAAAAAAAATCATCTAGCAAAAAATTACTACATTTTAGGGTTTTCAATAACCGATATTGGATCTTCGAATCTCTCAGTTTTCGATTAGGGTTTCATAATTGTTAATCGGATTAAGTTCTTAATCTGATTAAATCTTTGTAAAAGAATCGACATTGATTTGAGATTTTTATAAAAATATGAAGCGATCGAGGAAATCGAACAGGGTTTCTTGGGCTCCAGGTGTTAATCTTTGTCAGGTATAATCGCCATTATTATCTTCGATCGATCATTAGTGGTTTCATTGCCTTTTCAACAGTGTTTTTTTTTCTTTTGCTGATAAAATCGGAAACTATCAGTTTCTAATATCTGATAATATTATTATTGTCAGTATTAATTTTACCTTTTCATTTAAAAAACTTGATATCGACTTTTATGTTGATCGTAATTGGAACATTATTTAAAATTTTGAGCTTTTAAGCATTTGATTCTGGAATAACTGTTTCAATAATCCAGAAATGCAATCAATTTTCTATTTGTTTAAGAATAATGTTGATTATAAGTGATGAACAACTATAATTATTGAAAGGGGGAAAAACAGAGAGAGAGAGAGAGAAAAAAAAGTAATGAATCCCAGAAAATAATTGTGATAAAATTTGTTAATTAGTGTAAGAAGTACTATAATAACGACAGAATTGGGATCTTTCAAGTCATTTGAGATTCCTGAAAAATTATTTAACTGAGAATAAAATTGAATAATTTTCTTATAAAGTTTAAATAATTTAATCTTCAAAATATTTGTAATATGGTAAATCATTAAAGTTGTAACTTAAAATTATCAAGAATCTTGGTGATTCGACTTGGGATTTTCCATTTATAATGTTGGAATCTCACAGCCAGAAACTGATTTATTCAGTTTCTTTCAGTTTCTATGAATTTCTAAAAGGAAAAAAGATTTAACAAATCACAACAGTGATATCAAATCTTCTTCATGAAGGGAAAAGAAAAGGTTATTTTCTTTAAATAAAAAAGGGTAAACATTTGTTTCATGTGCATACTTATTGAAAAAGTTGTTAAGCACACATTCTTTCATAAAAAAATTATCATAATTTTCATCTTCCTTGTTATTTGGAACTCTTTTAATATAAAATTTTAAAGCTCTAGTCCCATATAATTCCGGCTGCAATGGCTGATATAGCCAGTTATAAATGTTAATATGGTATAACTAAAGATAAACCACTTCTTTTTTTGCCAGCAAGATAAACGACTTTAATATACAAATTATTGAGTACAAAATGAAGTACAAAGCATTCAAGGCTTTGATGTTTTGCTCCTAGGGCAAGTTGCCTAGCACTAATTGTGAGCAATGATCATGATGAGCCTAATGAGCCTAAAATGTTGAAGGAATTAATTTTTGCTTGGCAATATACTTGAGTGTTTAGTTACATACCAGCTTTGCATATATATAGTATAAGATAGATGCAACCTGTCCTTAAAAGTTATGTAGAAATGTACTGAATTTGTGATGTATTTCTAATTTCTAAGTAAATTTGAGAGTGCTGGGTCTGTCAAATTTCAGTGCATTTAAAAATGTCAGAATGCTGCAACTTTGTTAGTTTCATTTTATTACATGTAATAACTATCTATGATTACTTAAAACAGGAAAATGGTATGGTGGGTTGATCCTTGGACAATAATTTGATCCTACAGTTTTATGATCTTGCAGAAACTTTGATTCTCCTTAATCTGTGTCATGCCTGTATAGATGGCAAACAAGTTGGGTAGATGTTAGTATGCGTTTAGACAGTTTAGGCACTGATTTCAGTCATTTCACTCTCATTACTTCGATTACTCCGATTTCATCTTTTTCCTAAAGAATTCTTATTTGTAACTTGTATTTTCTTTTGAAATTATCTTCTCATTTTCTGCTTTGCATTTCATATGGTGTTGCTTTGGAGGTAGCCAATTGACAGAAACATGAGCTATGATCGGTGGTTTGGATGTCTATAATAGTTTTTATTTTTCAGGGTATATAACATTGTTTATCTGAATGATCCTATCATAATAAAATTTATTATGGCAGTTAATTTGTTTATAAGTGGCAAACAGAAAATTTCAACTTTTGAGCTTGTATCCGCCTGGAAACTCTAAATTCCTTTTGTTATGTTGTTTTCAGTTGAGGTCTGTAGTTATGCTACCATGGCTTGAATCTTTAAGTCTTTTAGCCTTTCCTCTTGTTTCCCTGCTTAAGGATCCCTAGAGTTCATGCCATTAAGGTTATTTATGTACACAATCAGATAATTTAATAACTATTAACCTGCTAAAATGGACTAAATTCTGAGTATTGTCTCAGGTGAAGTTGTTTCTGAGAGAGGATTGCCCTTCAAAAGTTGGTGGTGAACATCAAGATTCTCTTCAAGCAAAAACATCATGGGCATTGCATCCCAGTGGCATGTGTGCCAATGACCCTCCCCCTGGGTTTGAAGGTCATTATGCAGGTGGATTGAAGTATGATCTAGCTAAGATGCCTAGGATCAAATGGACATGCCCTCCAAAAGTAAGCAGATATATCTATCTTTTTTTGTTTTTAATGTTTTACTAATTTCAAAGGATCTCTAGTCTTCAAATTGTTTTAGAACCCTAGTGGAGAGGAAGACTTCGATTCTATGAACCTTTCAGAAGATCTTCTCTTTTGCATTGGTCTTGAAATCTAAATTTTTGCATTTTGTACATTTAAACAGTTTGTCTTGAATTTTAACTGGCACGTTGCTGCTGGTGAAGAGAGCAAGGAGGTAGTGGCTCAAAAACTGCGGGAAATGAGAGTGCACGAAGCAGTTTATCCTTGCCTTTCTGTTATTCCTCCTAGGTATGTTTTATACTTCTACAGACCTTTAGTAATTCCTTTTGTCTTTATTTAACTGAATCTCAATCATCCATTTTTGCAGTCCCTCCATTTCCGTGGGTGTAGAACTTGATTGTTATGATCATAGCCAAATTCCTCCTATTCCTCTAACTCCAATTGAAGATGAGGAGGGTGCGGTGATATTATCAGATCTTGCTGCTCAAGCAAAAACTCCCTCTAACTCCAAGACACCAGTATTGCTGATGCCCCCGGGTCTGTCAAAACCTGGAACTCAGCATATGCAACATTGCCCTAGTTCTGCTGCTGCAGCAACTGCAAGCTCTGATGCAATTGTAGCTGTTTCAGCGGCCTTAACTGCAATTATGAAAAGCAAAGAGCAGGGAAGTTTGATCGACACTGGTTTGCTTGTTAAAATCCTTAGTGATCCAAAGATGGTTGATGAACTAATTAATAACCATGGATATCTGAGTGCTGCTGCCAATGGCAATGTGGTAAGTGCACCTGTACGTACTTCAGAGCCAGAAACAGGAATAACTTCTTCGCCCTGCCCAAAACCTGCTTCAATTTCATCACCAATGCCAGCTGACAGAAACTCAAACCATTTACCGAAAGAGTTCCAACCTACAATAAGTATTCCAGCTTCTAGGGCAGACATCATTTCCGTTTCTATGCCTACGAGAGTAGAGTCGTCAGTTCCCGTATCTGGTAGGGAGATAAATATGATTTCAGGACATAAGGCAACAAATGGTAATATTTACTCCACTTTGAACCAGGTACAATCTGCTCTTAGTGTGATGCCTGTTCAGCCTAACTCTGTTCAGAAAGTGCAGCCAGCTATTGGTTCAACACGCATGCGACTAAATGCCGGTCCAGCTGTTGCTGCAATGAAAGCAAACCCTGTGAAAGATGCTAACTATATTAAGAACCTGATTAGGGAACATGGAATAGAAAAGCAAGAGGCTAAAGGGCATAATATCTCACAAACTGGAAGTCGTTTTAATCACATTCAAAACCTGAAACTGGCACAGAACTTAAAACCTATGGCATTGAAAACCAAGTTTAGAAAACCTTGCATCTACTTTAACAGTTCAAAGGGTTGCCGTCAGGGGTCGAATTGCCCTTACCTGCATGAGAAATCATTTCAGTGCCAAACTGACAGAATGTTGGAAGCTCCGAGCGCTAAGAGAATGAAAATAGGTTGGGAAGTTACAGGAAGGATATAGGTAAAAGTAGATGGTTTTATTTCAGTGGAGGGTTTTTTTTTTTGGTCAGTGTAAATACACTCCTTTTCGTTTCAAGTTCTGTATAGAGTTTTTCCTCGAGAGTAGTTACATTCTCTTTGGTTGGACACTGAAGAGAGTTTGAGCAAGTTTGGGGGTCAAACAATAGTTGATTGTTTGGAAGTTGTCCAAAGAACTAATAGCAAATTTTCGGTTGCAAAGAAATGGAATGAAATTTTAAATACAAAAACTGCATTCAAAACTTCTGTTAATTGTTAGGAACAAAAACAGAGAGTCACTTCCAAGTTTTTACTAGCATTTTCCTCTTGGGAAATTTTTTCGTGCAAAATATTTACAATTCACATATTCATATTATATGTTATTTTTTATGAAAATTATTTGTTATAATTCTTATTTACAAAAAAATAATAAATATAATTTTTAATTTCTTTTAAACTCATAATTTTGTTAAAATTTTATATTACGTTTTATATTTAATATTATATTATTATATTATAAATATTAAAATATTATATTAAAATATAAACTATCAAATTTATATCAATCGACCTAATGCACAGAATCGATAAGACGTAGAGTCGTTGGTTGTGTACTTAGGTTGGAGAAAAAGGATGGGGGAAAGAGAGTTTTAACCAAAAAAGCTTTTATTATAAAGAGGCAGACAATCTCACATGATAACCAAAATGGTTCCAAAATTAAATGCCTCTAACAACCAAATAGTCCCAAGCAATTAGGTCAGTATAATAGGACCCAATAAAATTGGCCATAGGCATTATTAAAAGTAATTTCAGAGTTAATTGGATACATTTTCCCGACACACTGAGCTAATTGGTCAAATATCCAGGCATCATCACCAAGAATCATCCGGTTCTCATGATGATATGAACCCCGCTATCTGTATCCACAATGTCACTTATCTCACCAACCTTAAGATTAAATGTTGCATCCTCGAATGGCTTTTGCATCTGGCCTCGACCAAAAGGACCTGCACAAAAAGTTTGTATAAGATTTTGTTTGGCTTATGGCTTGTAATGCTGGTACAAACAAACGCATGGTCATGGCTAATGAACAATACTTGCATCCTGGCATGTTCCTTGAAGGATATTGATAAAGAAATTTACACTATTATAACAATATGTCAATAGATTGGCAGTATTCAATGTCAACATGGACATAAAATGATATAACATGCCCATAATTGCAAAATTCATAGAATTCAATGATAGGATAGCTTTTAATGGAGATGAACTACTGTGACTCGGGACCTTGGGATCAAGTTCTGTAGTCAAAACTCCATCATGGATAAGATTTGAGAGTGGTATAATTGGGAAAGTTTAAAATATCCATTCCATTTATGTATAAAAATATTTTTTTTATCTTAACTATTTTGTAATCCGTGTGATGCAAGAGTTCATGTTTATATATATATATATATATATATATATATATAAATAATTATACACACAAATAGTATTCTTAACTTAAAAATACAAAATTTATATATATATATATTTAAAAAATAAAACTTTTAAAATATTCAAGGAGCAATATTATTAACAAAAGTGAATATATCTCATAAAAAATATTTGGATTAACTCAAAATTGCTTCATTAATTTTACATTATTTATGATTATTCCAATTTAAGATAAGTTAATATTATTTTAAAAAAGTAAACTTATATGTTAGATTTTGCAGCCAATATGAACATTTGTTTCAAAAGATATAATATAATAATTTGAAAATCATATATATAAGTATTAAAATTTTCATTGATTCCATTTCCATTACTTGCTTTTATTATGGGAGTTTTTAACAAAATATTAAATGAGTAATTACTACTAATTTGAATATTTTTGGTATAATTAATTCTAATTTTGTCAATAATCAACTTTTATTTTTTTTAATTAATTTGAATAAAAAATTATTTTTTATTATTTATCTTAAATTACTCTCAATTAAAATTCATGTAAAAGATAATAAAACTTTAATTACTATCATTAATAGCAAATTCATTTCTTTTTCATAATAGCAAATTTTTCATTGTAAATGCAAATTTGTATTTTATAAAAATAATGTTAAAGATGGTTTATATCAAGAACAGTTGGTTTTTAATACCTCTTTCAAATACTAATAAATAATGCCAATTTAGATAATAAAAGACTTTATTAAATAATGTTTTAAATATAGTAGTAAATTCAATAAGTGATAAAAAAGATAAATATAAAATCTTCTCTTTCCCCCTTTCTTTTTAGTCGCACAGATATAGGTAAAACATACTTATATATAAACAATAAATATTTAAAAATAACAAATAAGAAGAAAAAAAAAGGAAATATTAGACAATTTTTGTACAAGTTTTTTAATAGAAAAATTTATGGATTAAAATGTAATCTTATTAAATTAAAAGACATTATATAAAAGTATTCTATATTGAAATAGTATTTCATCTATAATAATGTTCTTTGACTTAATTAAAGAAATTACAAAAATATAAAATATAAAATTATACAATTAAATATGCATATGTATATTTTTTCAATTTGAAAAAAGAAACTAGCTAATTTAAAAAAATGCATTTTTTTAAAGTATTATTTTCTTCCAAAATACAACTTTTCTTCTATATGGGAGATAGTAGACATTACTTATAAACATTTATTTATTAAAAAAAAACTATTAAGAAAAAGAGATAATAAAGTTTAAAAAATAAAATTATTTACAATACCACTAATATAGGGATATTAATAACAAAACAAACTTACTAAGTACTAAAATAAGTTAATGAAAAAATAAGATATGCCAATGGACCTTAAAAAGAAATTGTATAGTATCCAAAGTAATATAAATAATCTAGTAAATTGATAAATCAAAATAAATGTAAAAAATAATAATAAAAAAATAATAAAACATAAAATTTTTAAAACCAAGGTAAGATACTATAAAATATACTATAAACCGATAAATTAAAGTAGCACAAAGATTAAACTGTGTTAAAAAAAAACATCAAAGAAAAATGTTATAACACCCACTTATTATTGCATAAAAAAAATGAAAGGTTAGTCGATAAAATTTAAAACCTATGTCTACATTCACCTTCATAGGACGATATTTATAGGCAACACAAGCTATTTATAACAAAGGGAAAATCCCTATGATTTTGGGTAAAAAATCAAAATTTAAAAATTTGATTAATTTAATTGTTTCCATACCAAGAAAAGCAAGTACATGCTAGCCCTCATTGTTAGATTCCTTTCACAAAAAATTTATATTTTACCATATATATATACATAGTGTACTTTAAATTGTCCCAATTTATAACCAATTGAAAGCTTATAGTATTAAAAAATTTTTTTTTTTCTTTTTCTTGTCTAACTCATTTAATTTGATTGATAGTGATTTAATGTATTAATAGTAATTTATTTATTGAAAGCAAGAATATTAATTATTTAGAAGTGAATAATTGTAATTAATTTTATAAAAAAATTATTTGTTAAATTAAGAATACATATTTATTAAATGCAGGACACGTGACAATTGTTTAAAATTACCAGCATGTCAAAAAAATAGACATTTCACATTAGACTTTTTCCTTTTTTATCAAAGGATTTGGCTTTTATATATTTATGTAAGATTACTTTTTCAGAACACACACAAGAAATGAGATAGACCCATCAATTAACCTAGTAAGACAATTCCTAAAATATTATCACAGTGACAAAGAATAAGAAAGCAGATAAATATCTTCAAAAAACAAAGAAAGCAGATAACAGAAAAAAAAAATCAGATGTATTGTCAAATTCTCAAACTTCTATGTGTTTTAAGTAAAATAAAAAGCCTTTGCTTTGAAACAGAGCTTATATGTACTTCAAATACGCCCATTTTGGAAAGCATCACGGTTCCCTTCACAAGTCATTTACTTGGGTGTGGGGGGCAGCAATAACCTTTTTCAATCGTCAAAACAAAGCAATTCTGCAAAATGCTAAAAGATTCAGGTAATTTGGTTTGCCTAAGTTAAAACCTTTTGTTACAAAGCAAAACTCAGCAATTGAAACCAATCAGACTTTAAAGCAATACACTAATACAGAAGCAAACTGGGCACCAAAACTAGAGTTATTATCATATTGGATATCTCTTAACCCAAAGGATGACTTAGTAACAACCTGTTCAATAAACCAAGTTGACTATTATAGCAGGGGATTCCAAAACCTAATATCTTTGAGACTTGAAACCCTAGTTTCACTTAATCTCAAAACTCTGTTTCATCAACGTATTCCAAACCCTAGTAGTAACAAAAAATCCCATTAAAACAAATCAATAACTACATGACTCAATCATCTTTTAATTCCTTGTATTAGCTCAAAGCTTCTTCTTTTCTTCCTAACTTTCAGCTTCTTACAAGTTTCTAAGCAACCAAGCAGAAAATAAATGTCAATTAAATAAACACTAGAGTTCCAAATCGAAGTTCGCTATTCCTAATCCAAAACCAAATCAGCGAAATCCTTAAAAGCTTTCAACTTTTGCACAGCAATCCAGTCAAAAGCAGGGAACAAACTTACCGAGATCGCCGCCGCGTTTAGCGGAGCTGCAATCAGAGTAACGAGAGGCAACCTCGTCAAACTTAGCCTTGCCCAAAACGATGTCGTCACGGAAGGCTTTGAGCTGTGAAACAGCGGTGTCTCGGGTGGTGTTGGAGATGACGCGACCTTCTGGATCCTTCCAAGAAGCCTTACGGCGCGAACCTTGGTGCTTGATCAGTATGTGAGATGCCCTCACTTGATTTGCCGCCGTTGACGATGACATCTTGCTCTTCTTCTTGTGGTGGTGGTGATGGTGGTGGCTGTCGTGGTGGCTGTCGTGGTGGTGGTTGGTGTAGGTAGTGGGGTTTTTGTCTTTCTGTTTATCCGCCGCCGCCGTTCGATCTGCGGATGAGATCGAAGCTTTCTTCCTCTTACGATCCGAATCTATCTTCGCAGCTTTTCAGAGACTGCAAAACAAATTTAAAAAACAGCCGACTTAGTGAAGCTCCGGGTTTTTTCAAGTCTTCCTCAGCTAGAGAAAGAGGCTATACATCTTGTGACGTGCCGTTTTTTCATTGGCGGTAAAAATCAATTTAACTATCTTAAAATCTAAAACTACAAATAGTATTCTTTTGTGTGTGAATTACAAGAATAGAATAACACCCTATAATTTTTTTAAAATTATATAATAGTGGAGTAATGCCTTAGTTGGCAAATAAGAAGGTAATAATATTGATAAAAAAAAAGGAAAAAGGCAATATTTAAAAAAAAAACATTTAAACTATGTCCGGTAGAAAAAAAATGAAACCAAAATATGAGAAAAGAAAAAAAAGGGAGGAAAAATATTTTTTCCTTATTGTTTGTGATATAAAATATGAAAAATAAAAAATGTTATAAGTAAATTATAAATAAAATTATTAATTAATATTTTACCATTTATAATTAACAGTGTTTGGATACTTTTTAAATGTTTAATACTACTAAGTAAAAAATATATATTAAATATCATAATGATTTTGAGATCGCTAAATGAATTTGAAAATAAAAATAAAATCGTCACAATTTTTTTTTCAATTATGAGTGATTGATCATCTATTAAAACTTATATTTTTATTAAAATCTCAAAATTAATTAAATTTTATTAAAAAGATAATTTTTTGGTTTGCGAAAACAATTATGGTTCAGAAGTTGGTTATGTATAAAGAAGGATTAAGACCCTCATAACGACCAGTAAAAAATAATATTAATTAATTATGTATTATTATTTAATTTTGACAACAAAGTCTTAGTTTTGGTATTTAAAATTAATTTTTTTAATTTTTTATTATAATAAAAAATATATTTTTATTTTTAGTTGTTTGCTTGAAAAATAAATAAGAACTTTATATATTGAAAAATCCCTAAAAATATTCTAATATTTTGAGAATATTAAAAGGAATTTTTTCACTTGAAGATTTTTTATGAATCATTACTTGAATTTTTCAATAATCCCATAATCAATTGTTTATATTTATCTTTAATATTTATATTTATCATGTATATAATAATGTATGATGTCTATAATTTAATCCAAATAATATTTTTTAAAAATTTATTTCTTATTCTATTTATTAAAAGAGACAAAAAATTTTTATTGAAAATTATTCTAAATGCTCCAATACATTGACGACACTTTAAATAAATTTTCTTATCTAGAATTTTCTAAAGAATTACTACTCAAACTTATTTAGGATCTCATCTTCAGAGATTTCATTTACTTTTATAATATGATACATATGGATTAACTTATGTCATAACATATAGATCCATAAATCTATAGTTAGACTTAACAAATGAATGGAATCGACCAATCTTTTTTAACTAGGTGTGATTCGTCACCTAAAGAATTTATCCTTTTAAAGAGCTCCTAAGCTTAACTAAATGTCTCTAAAAAAATAAGTTCGGGTCTATAAATCAGAATAAAGTTCAATAGTTCGATTACATATAGAAAAGATTATAGCAACCTCATATGCTCATCCAAATAAGGGTACCATATTATTTTAAATTTATCATAAGGTCTTGATTCTAATGGTCTTAAATTTTAATGTTGAATATTGAAAATAATTCATAAGATTTTTTCATTAATTTGGTAGAATTCTTAAAAATATTTTCTCATCTCAAGAGTATTCAAGAATCCTATTTGATTTCTTGAAAATGCTCCATCATCGGAAAAAGGTTTATTTATTATTTATTATTTATTAAAAATATATTTAATTATTCCACCATTTGGGTCAAATTAGAAAATTTTTTTGCTTTGAATTTCTAAATTCTCCATCATTTGGGCCTATTTAGAAAATTTTTTTTATTTTTATTTTTTTGGAAAGAAAATAATATGACAATTATTTTTATTAAAATTTCATTTAAATTATTCCACAATTTGGGACAAATTTAAAGAAAATTTCTCACATAGAGATTTATTAAAAATTTACCATTTGAAATTTCTAATATCTCATTGTTGGATAATTATCAAATATTTTCAACCCAAATTTTTATTTTTTATTATTTAATTTTTTTTATTTTTTTGGTTTGAAAATAAATATTAATTATTGTTATTGAAACTTTATCTAAATTATTTCATCATTTGGGATAAGTTTAGACAAAATTTTTCACATAGTAATTTTATAAAAATTTACTATTTGAAATTTCTATAAATTTCATCATTGGATAATTAATATTTATTTTCAAAATTTATTATTTTTTTAATTTTTTTAATTTAATTATACAAAAATACTAAAACACAAACACATAATAAAATAAAAAATACCAACAAAATACAAAAAAAAAAATGAAACGACTCAGCTTAACGGCTCGGTGTGGCTCAACTTCAGATACAGAAAATGACTCGACGACTCGGCTCAAGAGCTTGGCTTGGCTCAGCTTGGCTAGGTTAGGGCGTGGATTGGCAAAGCGGGTTGTGCTTGGGTTAGATTACCCGAATAAAAACACGTGGATCTTGGGGTCTTTTTAAGGTGAAAATGACATCATTTTAGGATTGTATAAAAGGCAGCTCCAAGCCTTTTTCCTCAAATTTTACCTTTCCCCTCTCTTTTTTTTCCTTTTCTTTCTTCTTCCTTCTCTCTAACTCGATTGAATCTCTAGTTGAATATCAACCGGATTCTAGAAAATACCATTAAAATCTGGGTTGGTTCACCAGACGATCACTGAAAAATTTAAACTTCATCAAAATCTTCACCGAATTTTGAAAACCTTGCCAAAAATTCAAGCGACACTAGAAAAGTCATCAAAAAATTCATTGAAAATTGAAAAATTTTGTCGAAATCTGGGAATTTTCCAGATTTTTTCAAAAAAATTTCTTTTTTTCCCTAAACCCAAAAATCTTCAAAAAACTTTCTGATTGCTTTTTGCTTGTGATTTTTTTTATTTATATTTTTGTGTGTTTTTTTGTGTATGTGATCTCTTGTCCTTGATCTATTGGTATTTATAAGATCAGATCAGAAGAGTTTTTGATCAGTTAGGATCCCTCATTCAATTAGATTTTCTCATTATTAGAAAACCTAAGAACTATCCTAGAGAGATTGAAACTAATTGCAATTTTACCAATGCCTATGCACGGCAGAATTTGCATTTTTTCTCTTTTTTTAGCTAATATCCTATTATCTTAAAATAAAATAAATAAATAATAAAAAATCAAAATAAGAATAAGAATCAAAATAAATAAATAACAAACAATTGGGCCTAATCACTTAAACCTCATTGAATCGGGCCCAATGGGCTTAGGCCCAGATCAATTAGGATGTCTACAGTTACCCCTCTTTGTGTATTTCCTATGCAATAAGAATTGTGTGAAGACATAGATACCTCACATATGATCACCCCAATAAATTCATTTTTTTTATTTGAAAAAGTAAACAAAGCTCTTCTAAATAGAGGCTCAATGATTTTGAGAAAAAAAATGCTCATCTGAATAGAGGCACCACACTTTGGAAAAATAAATTGCTCCTCTAAATAAATGCATTACAACTTTGAAAAAATAAATTATTCCTCTAAACAGAGGCATCACAACTTAAAAAATAATAAATTACTCTTCGACAATCATGTCCTAGAGTAGTCAAATTAGTTCTGATGGAATTTATAACGAAAACTTAAATATTTATAATTTGAGTTTGAAATTCAAAGGTTCAGATTTGCAAGAACCTTTTAGCTTCGTAAGAATTTACTTAAATTTGATTATCAAAACTTCAGTTTTACAAGAATTCAAATTTGCAAGATCTCAAGATTTGTATTTGCAAATTGTAAGACTCGCATATAACATTTAAAGATTCTTATTTGAATTTTAGAGATTCACATCCAAAAGTTTAAAACTTATCATTCGAGTTCAAAGATTCATATTTGACAAATTTAGGGTTCACATAAAAAAAGTTTAAGCTTTTTTGTTTGAATTTTGGAGATTCACATCTAAAAATTCAAAACTTCTCATTCAAGTTCCAAGATGCACATCCAATAAATTTTACGGCCTCATACTTCAAAGATTCTCATTTGAAAACTCAAAGATTCTTATTTGAAATTCAAAGATTCTCATTTGATGATTCACAATATTGTCTTAAAAGACCTTATCAAAAGATTCAAAATTTTTCTTTCAGATGACTTTCAAGCTTTTACCAAAGTCAAAATTTTATATATAATTAATGTCATGATCAATGATGCAAATGCTTTCTTAATGATGCAAATGCAACAATCTAGATTTTTAAAAATGTCATATTTTTAACCATGATCCAAATGTTTATTGCACAATGCAAGTGCATAGCTAAGCCAAATTTTCAAATATTCTCCAAACAACAATGCAAATGCAATGTATGTAATGTGGATGTCAATGTCATAAAATTCTAATTAAATGTGGTAACAGGGATCTTAAGACTCTATCATTTTGATCTTTTTTAGCACTAGCCATTTCAGAATGAATTTTATCCTCCATCCCTTAGTCACCACTCATAGGCTTCTCAACACTAGCAATTCTAGAACAAATTTTACCCACTGATCCATATTATTTTCATCATTTGATCATAACTCATAGGTTATGTTGACTAATCCATTACCATATTCATTTCTTAATCACATCATCTTTTCAGATTTTTGCCCTATATTCATTTTGTTAAGCAATCCATCACTATATTCATCATTTGACCATCCCATGTGTCATCTTTTCAAGTTCTACCATCTCTTCATTTTTTTACCTCCTATTATTCTTAATTTCTTTTCAAAAGAATGCAAGAATCTTTTAAACACATATTCATTCATTTATTATCATTTTAAATCATGACAAATATAATACAATCATACATTTTCTTGATTTATTCTGGGATGTAACAATAAGAGAGCACAAGGTAAATTGAGGGAAAGATAATAAATGAAAAGTGAGTCTGGTCCAAAACAAACGAGGAAAGAAACAAATTTGAGTGCATGTCATTGGGATGAATGGTATATCCAAGCAATGAATATTCAAACAATTCTGAACATTAATCCATGATTTTTTT